GTCACACATAGGTCACCCTAAACCACCTGGTAACTGGAATGGCCACCGGTGTTAGCTAATTGTCTTTATCCAAAGAAATAATAAAATTTCTCATATCTCTATGAAGTAAGTAGTTATGATTTGGAGCCAGATGCCAGCTGAAGTCAGGCTCCTGCCCTCCCATGGAAACTGGGAGATGGGGCACCATCTTCCTTGATGATTACATTTCAAAGAGATGGCTCCCAGGTTTTTGAGAAAACATTCCTGTGTTGTAAAACTGGCAAGAGGCTTTTAACAAAGGCTTCAAAAAATATTTTTATACATCTCAAAACGGCAGAAAGAGAATTAACAATTACAGATTTTCAAAACTAAAAATGGGAGGAGAATTTCCTATTCTCTTGTGCACCTGAATTAGATTTTAAATTTTTGACTCATATTCACCCATATGCAGCCATAGCATGTACATAAACAAGTGCGTATAGCTATGTTTCAGTACAACTCTGTTATGGACACAGAAACTGAATTTCCTTTTTTTTTTTTGAGACAGAGTCTTGTTCTGTCACCCAGGCTATAGTGCAGTAGTGGCTCGATCTCTGCTCACTACAAACTCCACCTCCCAGATTCAAGCAATTCTCCTGCCTCCGCCTCCAAATAGCTGGGACCACAGGCTAATGCCACCACACCCGGCCGATTTTTGTATGTTTAGTAGAGATGGGGTTTTGTCATGTTGGCCAAGCTGATCTCATGTTACTGAACTCAGGTGACCTGCCCACCTCAGCCTCCCAAAGTGCTGGGGTTGTGTGAACCACCACGCCCAGCCTGGCCTTTTATCTTTCAATCAAATATAGATTCAACAAAATTCCTATAACTAGATAGAAACACTGTCATCTGTCCATCTGTGCAGCTTAGGAAGGCAGCAAAAAACTGTATCTTTATAAGCCAATTCAATGCCCTGCAAAGATAATCTCATTATAGCAATATTAAAGTTTTTAAAAAATCTAATGTTTTTAACAACTTGACAGAATAATTCACTATGAGTCTGTTGATCTTAACCCAGCTGGAAACATTTCCTCGGCCTGACCTTTCCTCACTTTGCTTATGTATATTCATGGTTCTGTTATCGTCGTAATGGGTATATATGTTCACTTTGGTATTCTTCCTTTTGTGTAACATGATTTATCCAAATATTTTCTGTTTTCTATACCATGTTTATATTCATCATTTTTAGTATATCACTAGAGTATATCATTTTGATATGCCATAGTTAGCTTCTTTCTATATATCTGTATTGTTGGGCTCTTAGCTTTATTCCAATGTTTTACTATCATAAAATAAACATTATATATACATATACTTTTTATTAAACATTATTTCCTCAGGATAAATTATATTACTTGGTCAGGGGTTAGGCATATTTATGATTCTTTCAATAAAATACCATTTTGCCTTTCAGGAAGACTGAATCAATTTACACTGCTATCATTAATGCATGAGCATATCTGCCTCCCGAAGCCTTGCAGGCTTTGGCTTTTATCACTTTTTTAAAGTTTTTCTAATTTTTTTTAAGGCACAAAATGAAACTTCACAGTAGGTTTAATTTGCAGTTATTTTACCAACAAGGTTGACTGAATAGTTTTAAAATTATGATTTGCTGACAGTGTTTCTTCTTGTATGAACTGTTTTTTAATCCTTTGTTTAATAGACACTTGGTATTGTTACCTATTTATATGCATTCTTCATACTTTTTAGTTATTGAACGTTTGTCTTTATGTGCAAACCTTTTCTCCAGTCTTCTGAATTTTTAAATTTCAGCTTTATTGGTATTCATTCCATCAAAGATAAAACTATCTAAGTAATGAACCTATCTTTTTTCCATTTGTATTCCAACAACAATCAGAAAGTGATTTCCCCTAGTGCTAGTCTTTTATATGTGTGTATTTATTTTAATATATGTGTGTAAAAATATGTGTAAAACATATTTTTAAAATACTATGTAAAAAAACTACATATTATAAAACATTATTACACATTTTTTTACATGTTTTATGTAAAAAATTATATGTGTAAAAATACATAATATATATGTGTTTTTATTTTAAAAGTATTTAACTCCCAATTTACCTGGATTTTTTTTTTTTTTTTTTTTTTTTTTCTGATTGTAGTGGAAAGTATGGGTCTTTTTAATATTCTCATTATGGATATTTCTGTCTTCCAAGGGTTTCAAATTGATTACCAGTACATTTAATGTCTGCTAGGACAAAATGACTCTTTTTGACTCTGAAATACCCTTTGATGTTCTTGCCCATTTATTTTTTCCATATACAATAAAAATTATATTAATTTTATAAAGCATCTTGTTTCTAATTGGTGGCTGGCCACCTGAATCCTCTACGCACTGTGATGAGTTGAGGTTGAGTTGCATCCCTGGTAAGACTCAATATGCATCAACTTTACTTCTGCTTCTTCAGGATTTTCAGCAGAAATCCTGCTGCATTCTCCATGCTCTTCCACATGGTGGGTCCTGAATTCTAATCTTTTTCTTCACAAGACTGCTGAAGTCTCTGTTCTGCTTCAGAGGTTTTCTCCTTCTGTGTTTAGACGCTACCTTGTGCATCCCTGGAATTTAATAGATGTCCTGTGGAGACCTTCCAAGTCTCCTCCCATACCCCGGCTGGACTCTGGCTCCCAGCAGCGGTCTTCCATGGGTATAAGGCCTGGGGTTATCAGTCTCCCACCCAAGCACAGAATCAGCAAATGACCCCTGGGCACAGTGCCTGCAGAACTCAGCTCTCCCTAGCTGTGCTTCTCTCTCTGGAGTTTCAGTTCCTTCAGTTCTTGCTAACTAAGAAGCCCTTTTCTGCCTTAAAATAGGTGCCTTCTCTATTTTGTTCTAATTTTCTGTTTATTTTAGGTGGGAACACACTTTGTTACTAGCTAATTCATCTCACTTGGAAACATAGGTTTATTTCACCTTAAACATTTTCTCCTACTTTCTTATATTTTAAAAGCAAAAAGTCTTATTTCTGTTTGACATATTTCTCAGGAAAGCCTATCCTGACTTCTCAGACTCAGTTAAGTAGTACATTTTACAGCATTCTCTACCTCTTTTTAGATGTTTATTAAAATTTTAGTTATTTAATTCTGTAATTTTTTTTAATGTTTCTACTTTTTATTTTTTTGAGACAGAGTCTTGCTTTGTCACCCAGGCTGGAGTACAGTGGTGTGATCTTGGCTCACTGCAACCTCTGTCTCCAGGGTACAAGTGATTCTCCTGCCTTAGCCTCCCAAGTAGCTGGGACGATAGGCATGCACCACCACGCTCAGCTAATTTTTGTATTTTTAGTAGAGATGGGGTTTCACCAGGCTGGTCTCGAGCTCCTGACCTCAAGTGATCCTTCCGCCTCGACCTCCCACAGTGCTGGGATTACAAGCATGAGCCACTGCCCCAGCCTATTATTTCAGTTTAAATATGAGGAATTAAGCCTCTTAGTGTAAGTGACTTGCCCAGGTTTACCCAGTTAGCACATTATGTTAGTTCTAAAGTCAGGACTGATCCCTCCAAGTTTACCAATGCTAGGCCAGGACTACATGATGCCAACTCTTGATATTCTAAAATAAATTTTCTTTCTTTCTCTTTTTTGATTTCTAATTTTTTTTGTACTTAATCTCTTGAATTTTTACTCTGTTAGGGACCGAATTGCGTTACCATAACAGAATAAAATTAGAGTAACTCTGTGAATTTAGTTGCAAGATTCCCTTTCTATGTTTACTAACATGGTGAAGACCAAAGCAAGGATATGTAATAATTTGATCAATTAAGCTTGTAAAGTGTATGTACTATAAAGCATGTTTACTAAAAGAAACTGTATTTGTTCTAGGGAAGTATTTAGAAGAAGTTGAATTTGTTCATACTAGCTATGAATGATCTCACCATTTCCAGTGTGGTGGGTTATCTGTGATCGCAGATATGCTGGAGGGAAGGGATGGATCTGAAAGGCTACCATCAGTAGGAGGAATAAAACTTGTTCTGTGTCCTTCAGGAGTCTGCACAGTGATCAGCAGGTAATAGACACAGAGAAACTGATTTCAACTTTTGAGAAAAAAGTTTTCCAGTAAATAACGCTGTCCCACAGTGGAATAGGTTCCCTCAAGATGTTGAGTGCTGGAAGTGATCAAGCAGAGGCCAGAGAGCTTCATGCCTGGGAGCAGGGGAAGATTGGAGGAGAAGGTCGAGGGCTATCTGTAATCACAGATAACCTGCCGCACTCTAAATGAATTTGTAAACCTTGTGTTCAATTAATACATTACCATTTTTACTATGAGGAATTTGAGTAGCTATCTACTATTGGTGCAGAAAAAAATGAAAATATTTCCTCTGATTCATCCAAGCAGAGTGTGTGTCCTTTTTTTCCACAAGTGAGAGAAGGAATTGAAAGGAAAAAAAGGAACAAGAAGGAGAATAATGGTAAGAAAAGCAATGAGAAGATATTTGAAAAGCCTTCTGTGAAAGTAAGTTCCAGCTGCCAGTCCAGAATTAGAGCTCACGGTCTCTGGTCTCAGATACCATTTGCCTGAACTCTAAAGGTCCAGAGAAAAGCGATGCATTTCTTCAGTAATTAGCAGTTTGACAAGACTTCCAATTTTGATACTAAGTTGAAACAGTTAGTTCTTAGGCTAGAAGTAGAGACCATTCTAGCTATATGGGGAGAAAACATGAAGCCAAGTGGCAAGGAGATGGACTTAAAGGATGGAAAGATATTCAGCTTCAGACTGATGGAAAGTAGAATTTCTAAATAACTATAATTATTTATTGGTTTATAGTTTGTTCCTCAAGAAAGCATCAGAACTTTAATAACATGGGTATACTGTACTCAAAACTTGTGTGTCTTACTCCTGAAGTAAGAGCACAGCTAAATAAACTGAGGAACAACGTCCTTTAGTAATAACATTGGAGGAGGCAGCAAGTCTGCAGTGGACACTGTAAATAAGAGCCCACCTAACCTAAGTAAAATGGTCTTTTCTTTTTGAGATAGTGTTTTGCTCTGTGATCCAGGCTGGACTGAAGTGGGAAGAGCATGGCTCACTGCAGCCTCAACCCCCTGGTCCAAGCGATCCTCCCACCACAGCCTCCCAAGTAGCTGGGACCACAGGCATGCACCACCATGCTGGGCTAATTTTTTTTTTTTTGTAGAATAAAAATAGACAGGGTCTCCCTATGTTGCCCAGGCTAGGAGTCCTTTCCTGTTCTAACATGGCTCACTAGAATTCTGCACTGGGACTAAGAGCCAAGGTCCAGGCAGTAACTGCATTACTTAACCTTGCTTTGTTCTCTGGGACTGTATTTCCTTCAGGTATCCTACAAATTGCAGCAATAGAGCATTTTAACTGCCTTTTGAAGGTACATTAGGATCTTTACATCTCATATTCTAACCTCATATTTATCAAGAAATATAGGTGCCTTATTTTGACATGACATATAGGTAGAAACATGCAATGAAATACTATGCGACCATTAAAAATGATACATAAAATATTTAATGACATGAGGAAAATGATACACTGCAAAATAAAACTGATTATTAAACTATAAGATGATCACAGTTTTTAAAACTATAATTCTATGTACATAAAAATAAGGAAAAGATACAAAACAGAATAACTCAGCCATTAAAATTGTGTTTGCAGAAAAAATAACACCACAAGAGAACAACTTGTAATGTTAAATGAAAAATAATAGAAATAATATTATATGATTCATGACTGCACAAAATGTGATTTTGACTTTGTTGAATTTGGATGGAGAAGAAACTGGAAGGGAGAACATGAGAAATTGGCAGTGGTTTTCCCTTAGTGCTGAAATTACGAGTGAGTTTGGTGAGTTATTTTTCTTTATACTCTTCTGTCCTCTTTAAATGTGCATGCAATTTATTTATAATAATGTAAATACTTCTTAAATGTCTATAACTCTTCAAAAGCGATGCTTCAGGAGAAATGAGCTGTTAAGCATTTTAAGAATTTACGTGATTCTAATATACTGGAGGGAAGGGATGGATCTGAAAGGCTACCATCAGTAGGAGGAATAAAACTTATTCTGTGTCCTCCATAGGTCTGGACAGTGATCAGTAGGTAATATACACAGAGGAACTGATTTCAACTTTTGAAAAAAAAGTTTTCCAGTAAATAATGCTGTCCCACAGTGGGATAGGTTCCATCAAGATGCTGAGTGCTGAAAGTGATCAAGCAGAGGTTAGAGGGCTTCTTGCCTGGGAGCAGGGGAAGGCTGGGGGAGAAGGACAAGAGGACAGTGGGGTAGGGGACCTCTAATATCATTTTTACTGCTAACATTCTATTTGTGCATTCATTTGCTCAATCATACAACTTCCAAGATGGCCCCCAATGAGCCCTGCCAGTGTGTATTCATGCCCTTGTGCAATTCCCTCCCGGATTGAACAAGTTGATCCAAGTAATCAATAGGATACTTCAGAAAACATGGTGTATTGTTGAGAAACATTAAGTTTACCCTCCCCCAATGAAGTTACTTTTAGTTTGTTATTAGTGGTAGGTGGGTAATAACTGCCTACCTGGTATATTCCTGAGTTACGTGAATATGTAAAACACCTGTGTATTAATAAGAATCACCTGTCAAAGAGCAAAAGAGTGAATGAAGCTTTGCTCAGGGCCTTCAGTCCTAGAAAGCTGTCAGCCCCATAGACTGTCAGGCTGTTGGTCCCCAGGATAGGTCCATCTTGTTGTGTTATCTGAGTGTCTGCCTCTCAAATACCTTCAGCCTGCCTGGGTGGGGGTCTCCAGACCGAGCTTGTTCTCAGTAGTGTATGACTTCAGTCATAAAGACTTGGTGGCTTCTGCCTTGCTCTCCTGAGTTGCTCACTGTGGAGTAAGCCAGCTGTTGTGTCATGAGGACACTCAAGCAGCCTGTGGAGAGGCACTGAGGACTGCCAGTACCCAGCAGAAATGTGCAGGTATGTGAGTGATTCACCTTGGAAATAGACCCCCAGCCCAGACAAGCCTTCAGATGACCGCATCCCTTCACATCTTGTCTGTAACTTCAGAGACACCCTAGCAGACCTGAATTCCTGATCCACAAAGATTGTGTGGGATTAAGTCACTAAAATTGGGAGTCATTTTTACATAGCAATAGATAATGCAATACATTTTTACCTGAAATGTAAACAGGGAAAATCTGTTATGATGTGTTCCATAACAGAGTTGAGGTCATATTCTGTGATTCAGTCATTTCAGCTGAACTATTGACAAGTTTATCTTAATAAGGTGAAATCCCCAGCTGTTAAAGATGTGTAACAGTAGCCTCTCCACTTAAGTAGTACAGTTTAACCTGCCACAGTTCGAGGCCTTAACATGTTCCAAGAAGAGCAATGTCATTTTGGCTTTAAGATGATGTATCTTGTTTTTTTCCTGATAGAAAAGAATAATGTGCTTTTTGTTCTCCTAGAGATTTGGTGTCTGTGAATAGTTGTAGCTATAACTGTGACATTTACCATACATTTCTCAGCTTCCACCCACCAATTTGTTCAGAAAAAAAGGTATGCTACAAATTGCAGCGATAGAGCATTTTAAAAAGGTAATTTTCAGCATGTTAGCACCTGAAAGGGAAAGTTTTATCTGCTTAAACAAGCCAAAAGCAAAGACAAAGACTGCACGTTGTTCTTACAGATGACTTAAATCATCTCTTTGATGGTGAAAATATTTTTAACACCTGAAAGTTATGAGATATTCTGGGTAAGCCTGATTATCAAAGAATACCACAAATAGCCTTGGATATAGTGTATCATCTGTCACTGAGTCAAAGAGATCTGTGGCACTGTGAGGATTCTTGGGTGGAGGGGCAACTAATTCTGCATGTCCCTGTGTGTAGACTCCAGTAAGTACTCGCACAACGTACATGTGCTTTCTCCCATTGCTGTCTGGCCTGGAGTAGGTGTCCTTGGCAGAATAACTGGCATCCACAGCAAAATAGGTTCCTTTTCCATAGGCTACAGCTGGAAAGAGAAAGACCAAAATCTTCCTAAGAATGTAAAATTACACAATACGTAGAATCAGGCCCAATCCAACAAAATTGTTTTCTAAATGCAGTTCTAGCCAGGTGTGTTGGCTCATGCCTGTAATCCCAAAACTTTGGGAGGCTGAGGCAAGAGGACTGCTTAAGGCCAGGAGTTCAATACCAGCCTGGCCAACATTATGAGACCACCCCCCCACCACCTACAAATATAAAACAAAATTATTAGCTGGGCATAGTGGCACATGCCTGTAATCCCAGCTACTCAGGGGACTGAGCAGGGGAATCATTTGAGCTCAATAGATCAAGGCTGCAGTGAGCCATGATCTAGCTGCTGCACTCCAGTCTGGGTGACAGAGTGAGACTGTCTTTAAAAAAATACTTGCCCATTAAAGTTACTTTTCATCATTTCTAAAATTCACTCCATCGTCCCTCAGAAGATTGCCAATCTCCTTTAAGGTAAAACACAGCGAGCTCTATTCTGACAATGATAATATGGCTGCCATCCATGGCTTCACGCTGCTTGGTATGAAAAGTCTGGAATTATCGTTTACCTCCTTCTGATCAGCCAGATTACTCGCTTCCTTACCATTCTTCCCAGCATAACTTCGATTAAAGCCATGCTGATTGACATGTGGCACTGAATCTGCATCTGTCCCATGGAAGAGGAGTCTCTCATTATTTGTATGGCCATTCTTGATATCCATGTGCTTTTTCTTTACCTGGTAGCTCTGCCAAAGAAACGCATTCTGTATCCTCTCAATCTGCAGATGACAAAAGGCAAAATATTTCAGAAATGACCTTGGGGCTCAGTATATTGTATTTGTTGTGGATTTAAAATAAGCAATATGAAAAAGAAGGAAGAGGAGTTGGTGAAGGAAAAGGAGAAGAAAATACAAATAGAGAGCAAATTCAGAGAGCAGGCAGCTTTCTGCCTTTAGAGAAAGATGAGCTAAAAGTATCTATTAGTATCTATGCTTTGTAATAGTGCTTGTTAGTATATATTTTAAATAACAGAATATAGTTTATATCAAAATGATTACCAGTATATTCCCTGGAATTCCTGGAGATTCACTGACATTCAAACACCTACTCAAAAATTTGTACTCATTTAATAGCCATTTCCTGAACTCCTTCTCATCTTGCAACCTATTCCATGTGGCGTCTCATAACAATTCTGTTATTGCTCCAATTACGGTCACAAATCACCTCATAATTGCCTAATCTTATGGCTATTTTTTCTAGACTTCTGAATAGCATGTCAAACCATGAGCCATCCTCTTCTTAAAACTGTTCTTCTTTCACTTCTTTTCAAAATATCACTCTCTACTGGTTCTCCTTCCTCCTAGGAAATGGAGTTAGCAACCATTCAGCCATCATCTACTGAACATCATTATGAATTAAGTTTGTGTTGGGTCACTGCCTTCACGGAACATTCAGTCTAATGGGGTGGGGGAAAGACAAGAAAACTAATCACTACCCCACAGACTGATAAGGGATGGTCAGGAGAACACACACGGAGCTATGAAAGTATAATAAAGGGCTCCAGCTAACCGGTGTCTGGGGAAGGAGGAGGAAATCTGAGAGAATGATGTTCTGAAAACAGAGGGAGAAGAGAGGTTGAAGAAGAATGGAGTGGGTACCTGGGCAGCTGTTGAGGAGCCAGGCCATAATAGCAGGAGGGAAAGTTGTTCTGCTCAAAGTAGTGGAGGTCTCCAGGAGAGTAATGAAGGTTTGCAATGGGGAATGTGTGAGGGGGTTGACTGGAGGAAGCAATGAAGGATTCCAGGCAGCCTGGACGGTTCAGCTGAGGCTGGGGACCATGTATTAGTAAGGATTTCATCTAGAAGCAGCGGGAGAGAAGGTAAGTTATGGGATTAATCCAATGTTGGATTAATTTTCAAAAGAAGTATGAGCCAAGAAAGCAGCAGATGTTGGGGAAACACAATTGGAATAGGGTTCTTGCACTTCTTGTACAGTCATCCCTCAATATCCACGGAGGATTGGTTCCAGAACCCCCACAGATACCAAAATCTGAGGATGCTCAAGTTCCTGATATAAAATGACATAGTACTGTATTTGTATTAATATATAATCTACACAATCCTCCCATATACTTTCAATCATCTCTAGATTTCTTATATTACCTCATACAATGTATTAATAAATGCTATGTAAATAGTTGTTATATTGTTTAGGGAATAATGACAAGAAGAAAAAGTCTGTACACATTCAGTATACTCAACCATCATAGGCCTCACCACACTTTCCATCCGAGGTTGGTTGAAATCATGGATGCAGAACCTATAGAATCAGAGGCGTGGGACTGTACTCCCAACAGCTTTTAACACCACGAGGCATCGCCTCCTTTAAATTCTGTCTTTTATGTAGGATGTCTCTATCTTCTGGTTTCCCCTTCTCAGGAATTAAGCTCATTCATTCATTCAAGTTTACTCAATACATATTGTGTCCTACTATGTGCTAGACAGCTTCCTAGGTACTGAGAATGAAGAAATGAACAAGACGTGACTCCTACCTTAAGCAGCTCACTGTCTAGTCCGGGAGCCAGGCATGTGAAATGTTATCAAAGTACCTTATAAGTGCTGTAATGTAACTGTATACTTACAAAGCACCATTTTACAAGTGCTCCAAGAGGTAAGTACACAGCTCTATGGAAGAGGTCACAAGATTTTAAATTACTAGGATGTCACACCCTGCTCTGATATACAAGTATAATGATCTACTGACAAACCCTTATACTTTACTGACTAATAGTTTTATGCAGCATAGTGGGCATTGTGGTAATCTTCTAAACATGCATTCCACCCCATTAGCAACTTCTGATTTGAGTGGGATTGGCCCTACTTATAGTTCTAGGGTGGAGTCTAATTGAGTTAAACCAATCAGGATTTCAAAATGAATCACACATTGATGGGATCTGATAGCTCAGGCCCAAGCCAACCAGAACAAGGTATTCCCTAGACACAGAGATGGTAGCAGTGGTTGGGATTCTCATCCACTAACTGTGGAACAGGACACAGTTGTCTTCTATGGGTTGTGAATGAGAAAGCAGAGACACCCTAATTGCTGCCAGCAGTTACCCAACAACTACAAGGAGAGTCCAGCCTTAAGAAAAGCTGACACTGAGGACAGCAAAGCTGGAAAGACTGGATCCAGCACACCATCAAGCCGCTGGATCAGACTTCTCCAAAGCCCATCCTACTTCGGGACTTTCCATTAATTTCCAACACAATTCTCCTTGTTTAATCAGTTTGAGTAGGTTGGTTTGTGACTTGCAACTGAAAGCATCCTAACATAAACATGTGACTTGGAATCTCCTTCATTACCGCTAAGGAATAAACCATGAGATTTCACGTCGATGGAGCTTGAGTAAGTCTAATTCCAGTTAAAATAAACATAGGAATTAAAATAAAGGAAGGAAGGGTGTTATTTAAAAAAACAGCTTTTATGTTAATTTGCCAACGTATTTAAACAGTAAATTTTAACACATCATTACCTTCTCTATTGTGTAGGAAGAACAAGTTTGGGTGAACTTGTCCTTTATGGTATTATATTCTGATTGTCCTGGGTGTAGCTGGACCATGCAAGATAGCTGATGATTCATGTCAGTCCAGTGTTCAGGAAGATTATCTGGAAAGTCAGCATTTGGTCAAAACACAACATTCATTTCCAAAGACCTCTGAAAATCAGGGCACCTCCTATGCTCTTGTCTCTCGTCATCCAACTGTGATCTTTAAAGTAGAAGCTACACATCTCACGGTTGCTTCTTTTATTATCCTCAATTGAGTAAACCCAGGTGAAGTGAACAGTCTGACACCAATGTGACACACAATATATTCATTAGTGCTCTAGCTAAAATATTTAGATAAACTTAGATCCACTATAGCTTGAAATTATAATTTTCCCAGAGAGTTCTGTAGAATTAATTTTGTAAGAAACTGATATGGAAACATGAATGTCAATTTATGGATGCTTTTGCTTTTATTAGTATTATTTAATGTAGCTCTCTTCTATTTTTTTGAAACATGATTACTCTGCTAAAAATATTTAAAGCACATTGTTCTGTACCCCATTTTATACACCAAGCAGAGAAAGCACCATGTAAAGAACATAGCAGATGTGCTAAGAGAATGCTTTCCCGTCAGGTGATCATTCTGGTTTCCTTTGCTTTTCAGTGGTTTCCTGGAACTTCTAAAACGCCCAAGCTAGATGTCAACTTGCTAAGATAGCAGAACCAGTATGAATATGGACACATTGCATTAGAAAAGTAAAAGCCCACAAAATGACACAACTCCACAGGTAAAAACCAAAGGATTTTTTCCTTACAAACAAAGCCACAGTTTACTCATTTTTAGTGAAAGATCTACCTGGCCTGAGGGAGGGATCCAGGGCACCATCTTCCTGTTAAGCAAGTCCATCCAGGGTAAGTTCTGGTGACATAGGGAGGCATCTAACCCTAATCAGTAAGCTCTTTTCAAAAGTTGTTCTGGCAAACTTTCCCACCAATAAGGGTGCGTGTTCTGAAAGCTACATTTTTTCCTTTCCCCGACACTGTCCATCTCCTTCAGGATCTTTCTGCCTAATCATTTCTAGTCGGACGCCTTACGGTCCTTTTGGATCTGCCGCTTCCTTTCCTCTGAATACAGCAGGCAAGGCTCCGAAATAAGGAAGTGAAGGTTTTTAGGGGGTCTTCTATTCCTTTCATGCCCTGAGGTTGGAGAGCAGGAAGCTATCAGGACTTGGAATCAGAAGACCAGATCAGCCTCAGCCTGTGACCAGCCATACGACATTGAACACATAACACCACTTCTGGGTGAGTGTTTAGTTTTTAATCTGTGTAATGGGAATTATAAGATCAGCTCTATCTACCACCTCAAGGGATTGTTGCAAAGTTAAAATATAATGAGTCTGAAAATGCTTTAGGGAATGCCAAGTCCTTTGTAAACATAGGGTTATTCTTAACCAATTAAGCTTGATATTTTTTACATCTCAGAGGTATTTGTACATTATTATTATTATACATTTACCCAGTCTGGAATGCAGTGGCATGATCATGGCTCACTGCAGCCCTGACCTCCTGGGCTCAGGCAATCCTCCCACCCCAGCCTCCTCAGTAGCTGGGACTACAGGCACATGCCACCATGCCTGGCCGATTTTTTTTTAGAGATGGAGTTCTGTCATGTTGCCCACACTGGTCTCGAACTCCTGGGCTCAAGCAATCTTCCTGCCTTGGCTTGCCAAAGTGCTGGGATTATAGGCATGTGCCACAGCACCCAGCTGGTATTTGTATATTAATAGAATAAAGAATAAAGCCAAAGGTATTTTCTTGAGAGGAAAGACATTTAAATCACACCCTTAAGCTACACCAAACATTGCTATCTACTCTGTTGTCTATGTACAAAGGATAACCCTGGCTAGAAAATTTAGAGGAGAGAAAACGGAGTCCCAGGAATACTCACCCAGCATCACATGGAAGGTCATTATCAAACTCAGGAGCACTGTTGACTTGCAGCCCAGGGCTTCACAGAAAATAGCATGATAATTACCCTTTTAAGTGTTTCCATGTGCTAGGCATTTTCCTGAGCCCTATTCTTATACAGCTTTTAGAAAAGATGAGTGTTTTTTAAAACAGGGGTCCCCAAGTCCCAGGCCACAGACTGGCACCAGTCTGTAACCTGTCAGGAAGCAGTCTGCACAGCAGGAGCTGAGCGTCGGGCAAGGGAGCAAAGCTTCATCTGTATTAACAGCTGCTCCCCATCATTCTCACTACCACCTGAGCTCACTGTCTGTCAGATCAGCAGCAGCATTCGATTCTCATAGGAGCTCAAACCCTATTGCGTACTGTGCATACAAGGGACCTAGGCTATGCACTCCTAATGAGAATCTAATGCTTGATAATCTGTCACTGTCTCCCATCACCCAAGATGGGACCTTCTAGCTGCAGGAAAACAAGCTCAGAGCTCCCACCAATTCTACATTGTGGTAAGTTGTATAATTATTTCATGATCTATTACAATGTAATAATGAAAATAAGGTGGGCAATAAATATAATGCACTCGGATCATCCTGAAACCATCCCCCGTCACAACACAGTCCGTGGAAAACTTGTCTTACATAAAACTGGTCCCTGGTGCTCAAAAGGTTGGGGACTACTGTTTTAAAAGATAAGCTCTACTTTCAAATTCCTGGTGGTTCAGGATAAATATCCTCACCTGTGGGGATGGTTTTTTTTAAAAACCAAGATCCCGGCCGGGCCCGTTGGCTTACTCCTGTAATCCCAGCACTTTGGGAGGCCAAGGAGGGCAGATCATTTGAGGTCAGGAATTCGAGACCAGCCTTGCCAACATAGTGAAACCCTGTCTCTACTAAAAATACAAAAATTAGCCGGGCATGGTGGCTCACACATGTAATTCCAGCTACTCAGGAGGCTGAGGCAAGAGAATTGCTTGAACCTGGGAGGCAGAGGTTGCAGCGAGCCAAAATTGTGCCACCGCACTCCAGCCTGGGTGACAGAGCAAGCTTCAGTCTCTAAATAAATAAGACCCCTGGCTCTGCCCCCTGTCTTTCTCTCCTCACTGTTTATTCTCCTGGATAAGCCAATCACACTTAAGGGCTTCAATCCCATCTGCTCACATGACTTCCCAAATCTCTATCTCTAGTGTCTGATACACAGGTGGTGCTCAATAAATAATCTGCCTCAATAAACAGCTTTAACATACATTTGAAAAGTAATTATGTATTATCTGCACAAATGAAACTCAAAGCTATCCTCTTTAAGTTCTTTTTGAAAAGCAGCTGTATGATAAATTCTTACTAAAATTCCAGTTTATCTGAGCCAACAAACTTCCTTTTATCTGATATTTCATCTGTATTATTCCTTTTCTCTAACAACAAAGATGACGTAGTGCAGTTTGATTGTGGTCTGTTTTCACTTCAGGTGCCAGAAGTTCAGGCTGAAACCAGTCTTTCCCTGCACTGACACCCCTGCTGTCTCAAAGGGTCAGTTGTATGCTCATTTTAGTCAGTTTGCTTCTCTCTTCAACTTCACTGTTTTGTTTTTTAAATTTGTAAGTCAGTTTAAAATATTAATGAAAGCAAGGAGTGATAAAAACCAGTTAAACTTTATTTTTTGCTTTACTGATGACTTATTTAGTGTTCTTAAATAAAAATTTTCTTCTACAAGGACAAAAGGGAAAAAAATGTTAGTTTATATATCCCTAGATACTATAGTAGGTACATACTATTTTTAACTTCCCAATATCCTTTTCTCATTTTCTGGTAAAAGCCTTCTGAATTTTCTTCAGGGAGCAGCTATTCCCCATTGCTTTGGATGGTGATTCCCTCTAGCTCAAGTATGCAGCATGTGACTCTGGCTCGGCCAATCAGTGTAATTATGGTTCCCTGCCTGCAATTGTCCAATCAGAAAGACTCTCAGGGCTTAAAAGACTCTCAGGGCTCTGTTCCCTGGCATTATTTCCTGATGGTAAGTGTGTAGCTCCACTGGATATACTCTTTCCTCTTGAAACTGACTGTGGAAGGATGGGGGCCTAAAGCTGCTAGCATCCATCTTTTACCATATGAAGACTGAGGGAAAAGACAACACAGGTAAGAAGAGAATAAGAGATGAAGAAATTCAGGGTCTAGACGATTTTATTATATGAGCACTTGGATCAAACTGTACCTGAAGCCAGGAATGCATGGGCTTTATAATAACATGGGTCAGGGAATTCTGTTTTTTGCTTAAGCCAGTGTAAGTTGGATTTTCTATTATTTGCTACTGCAAGAACCTTAACAGATCCAACTATTATTTTCATATTTTTATTATATGTGTGTCTCCTACATGTATTGTATGTTGTACTACACTGAGGCGAATACTTGTCAGGAAATAAATGTAGAGAGAACTGACATTCCTCCTGACAGCAACAGACAACAATTCTCGGTTTAAGAAGGCTGCTGATGGCAGGTGTGCCTTATCACTAGCAAAACTCAGTGCTTTAAGGGTGAGTGCTCCAAATGGGTGAAAATAGTGATTGCAAGAGGAGACTGCAATCCTAGTTATTTTAATAGCAGTACAAACGCCACAAAATAGAGGAAAACTAAATCAGAGGAACATGTCAGTACAAATACTTAAAGTATAAACACACCTTACAGAGTAGCAACTGGGGATCTGTCTGGCTGCTTATGCCATAGTACAACCAGCTGACCCGAGCCACTCCCTTCTGACACCTGATTCTATTCCAGGCTAACCTGTCTATAGGTGGATGATTAATAGACCAGTATTAATCAGCTAGTTCACAGCTACAAGAAGCACCAAGGGTTAGTACCAACCAATCAATAAATATAAGACTAATGTGGGAAAGGGGGGAAGAAATTAAAGTTTTCTTCTAAGTAAACCTCCCTGAGTCCTTCCCCCTCCCATGTGATTGTATCCTACTTTTCAAGTTTTATATGTTTATAAATTCTTGTATTCTTGTTCTCTATAGCAGATAACTGTAAGTTTTTGTAACACAGTGAAGTTCATAAGAAATGCCCAAGCAGGCAGGACTCCAGCTTTCTGGACACTGTAGCAGAAGGCAATAGATAAGGCCCATGCTAGAATCCTTGAGCTCTACAGATAGGGAACATCTGGGTTACATAGTAACAGTCCTGTGTAAGCCTAATTAGGTGCCTATCATTGCTTAATGAATTGCCTTTTTTTCTACACCTGCAAACTTGTTTTTAGCACCACTGTGTACTTCATGTATAAAAAGTCAAGCCCTGTCTTTGTTAGGCCCTCAGCCTTGGGATGCTAATCTGCTGATCTGGTGGCCACCTTAATAAAATTCTTCTGTTTCACCCATTGGTCTCTGCGGTCTCCTGAATATTCTGCAACAAGACCACTGGCTAAAATTTGCAAAGCCTCCTCCCCTCTGATTCCTCACTTCCATTCTCTTCCTGTTCATTTGCTATTCCTGTTCCCAGGCATGATTTTGCCTCTCAGGAAAATAGTTAATTGACAGGAGGTTGCATTCCCTAATTTTTATACTTTTCCCATGAATCATAAGAACTTGTCTGAAAAGTCCTAAAATGAATAGAAAACTATAAACCCAGTGTAATTCATACATAAACATTTTCTAAGTGATTGTCAGAGCCAGCTAGGTGATTTTAAAAAACTGAACATCTTACATGTAGTTGTGGAGAATGTGGATTGAAAGGTTGGTGATGCGGTGGTGTCTCTTTTTCTCATGCTGTCATAGAATATATTTAGCAGCTCAGGTAGAAAGAGGACAACTTTAACAGTTTTTAATGATGGGGTGGAATGTTTCCTTGAGAAGTCTACAATAGCATCAATTATGTTATCAGCAACTGTGATTGGGTTTTTTCTGGCATTTCCTGAAAAAAAAATTAATGACAAAAAGAAGTTTCAGCCAGTGTTGGTAATACGATGAAATTGGGCAAATGCAATTCTCAGTGCTGAGAAACAGGAAAGCCCCTGACAGCCAGGAACTGACAGGACACTCACAGCTAGTAGGTGTTCTTTGGCTGAATACAAACAATTTCACAGTACATCATTGATGTAACCACTCTGTGACCATGATGAATTAACACAAAAACAAGACTAGTCCATAATTATGTCTTATCACAGACAAAAACATGAACCCTGTCCAAATCACAGAGATGGCCAAACGTTCCCCTGTCTTGACTAATAAGAGTGACAGCTGCTGCATTACCAATCATACATTTAGCCAGAATGCATCCTCCCTTCTTCTAGATAAGATATCCAATCATAGAATTGCGTCTGTTTCCTGGAAGTCACTGATATAGAGAAAAGCCCCACTTAGTTTAGACTGCTACAAAATCACCTAAAGCCCAGGACCATTAAGTCCTTTCTAACACTCTCCTACTGAGATGCTGCAGAGCTCCCCATAGTGTGTGTTCCTGGTGATCTTTAGCTGATGGGCATTGGCAGTGCAGAGATAAGAACATATGATCTGGATGCAGAAGAGCTGAGTTTATGTCCTGGCTCCACTATTTACTAGTTGTTTGATCTTAAGTAAGTTGATCCCTCTTGAAGTTAGCTAGGGCTGCAGTACAAAAAGCCATGGACTGGTGGCTTAAGCAAGAGAAGTGGAGGCTAGAAGACTGAGGTCAAGGTATCATCATGGTTGACTTGTAGATAGGTATCCTCTGTGTCTTTTACGTGTTCTTCGGTCCATACCTGGCAGTGTCCTAATCTCCTCTTTTTATAAGGACACTAGTCATATTGGATTAGGGCCCACTTTAATGGCCTCATTTTAACTTAATTGCCTCTTTAAAGACTCTATCTTCAGACTGGGATCACATCTGTAATCCCAGCACTTTGGGAGGCCAAAGGCGGGCAGATCACTTGAGGTCAGGAGTTTGAGACCAGACTGTCCAACGAAACCCCTGTCTCTTCTAAAAATACAAAAATTAGCTGGGCGTAGTGACTGGCCCCTGTAATCCTAACTACTCAGGAGGCAGGAGAATCATTTGAACCTGGGAGATGGAGGTTGCAGTGAGCCAAGATGGCACCATTGCACTCCAGCCTGGGTGACAGAGTGAGACTCTGCCTTAAAAAAAGACCTTATCTCTAAATCTGAGGTACCAGCGTTAGGACTTCAACATAGGAATTTTGGAGAGATACTCTCAACCTATAGCACCTCTACACTTCAGTTTGCTCAGCTTGAAATTGGCGGTAATAATAATAGAAGGTAATGGGTAATAGAGATAAGACTATGGTAGCTAAGAATAGGGTAATTAAGAATATAGGCCGGGCACGGTGGCTCAAGCCTGTAATCCCAGCACTTTGGGAGGCCGAGGCGGGTGGATCACGAGGTCAAGAGATCGAGACCATCCTGGTCAACATGGTGAAACCCCGTCTCTACTAAAAATACAGAAAAAATTAGCTGGGCATGGTGGTGCGTGCCTGTAATCCCAGCTGCTCAGGAGGCTGAGGCAGGAGAATTGCCTGAACGCAGGAGGCGGAGGTTGCCGTGAGCCGAGATCGCGCCATTGCGCTCCAGCCTGGGTAACATGAGTGAAACTCCGTCTCAAAAAAAAAAAAAAAAGAATATAATGGTAGAAAACCATGTAATAAAGAAGTAATGGTAAAAATTGTGCAGGATTTGGGACCAGGCTGTGTGGGTTAGAATCTAGCTCTGTTGCTTACTAGCTGACCTTGTGCCTTAATACTTCAAGTTCAGCTACAAAATGGGGACACAGTATGGGATCGACCCAGGTTTTGAATTTATATATCTCAGAAAAAGAATATACAATTATGTATAACAGTGAATATTTAAAATTAGAAATCACAACAAAGTATATCTTTTAAAATGCTGAAAATTATATTCCTAAGGCAACTTTCTTTAGCTATATCACATAAATGTTTATAGCCACCCCAACATCACCCAGTGCAAGGGGAAGTATGAGATGTCAAAGTGGGGGAAAAACAGTGGTCTTAATCCATGAGGGCTGAATATCCTACTTTTGAAATTTACCAAATAACAAGGTGAAGACATTATTAGGGCTCCTCTCAGGGTCTTTTAAAAAGCCTGTGCAAGTAAAGTTCAATCACTTAAGCTTCATTATCTTCACAATAAATTTGTCTTTGCTAATAGTTACCATGTCGTAAGTATGAAGACAAACCTCCCAGTTTCTCTGGGGCAGAGAGGTTGCCTGCAACATGAGACTTACAGTGTTAAAACCAGGAAAGTCCTGGGCAAACTAGAAACAGTTGATCACCCTATATAAGGTTACTATGACAAATACATGAACTTTTACATGTGAAACACCTAGAACATATAAGCACCCAATAAATTTTAGCAATTCTTAACATTACTACTACAACACATGGAGCTATTCCAGCTACTTCATGGGATTTTAGTGGTACTCAAAATAGATTGCATCTGGGAAACATTTCTTTTTCTTTCTTTCTTTTTATCCTTTTTTTTTTTTAAGACAGAGTCTCACTCTGTTGCCCAGGCTACAGTGCGGTGGTGTGATCTCAGCTCATTGCAACCTCTACTTCCTGGGTTCAAACTATTCTCGCATCTCAGCCTCCTGAGTAGCTGGGACTACAGGTACCTGCCATCACGCCTGGCTAATTTTTTATTTTTAGTAAAGATAGGGTTTCACCATGTTGGCCAGGCTGGTCTCAAACTCAGTACCTCAAGTGATCCAACTGCCTCAGCCTCCCAAAGTGCTGGGACTACAGGTGTGAGCCACCACGCCCAGCCTGAGAAACACTTCAAAAGTGTCCGTTGAAATCAATGGGGAAGAGAACATCCATGAGCACCTCTGGAGGCATCAACAAATCAACTGTTATTCATTCCTCCATTCAACAAAATTTAATGGGCAGTGATTCTTCATTCAACATGGGGCAGGGAAGACATAAAGATCTGGTCCTTCCCTTTAGAAGGAACAGATTTGGAAACGAAAAGAAAGGCTGAAACTCAACAATTCTCTGGAAGAAGATTCAGCAGGACTTGCTGACTTTGGGGGTCTGTGACACAACAAAGCAAGGAAGGCAGGCCAGGGCAGCTGGAAGCGTCACGGCATCACTGAAGGAAGAAACAAGAAAGCCTGAGAGCTCGAGAGGAGTTTGTTTTCAAGGGAGGATCATAAGCTTCGATTCTGATGTAATGAAGTTTCCGGTAACAGAAAACTTAACCAGAGGAAATCCTGGAGAGAATGAGCATTTGACAATGTATTCACAGTCGAAGAGGCATGGCACAAGCATTTCATGGCCTCCCACTTCCTCCTCTGGGGCTTTGCACTTACTCTCCTCCAATACTATGATTATTGGTTGGTTCTTCCGCTGACTTTTCTGCCCTTTCCCCACCACAATCTATCTGTGGGCATTTTTCACTGTTCTGGTCTTGGCCCTCTTCTCTTTCTCGAAGCAGTCCCTTGGCAGGCTCATTCCACCTACCCAGTTGCAACCCTTCCCACTATGTGGCTGATCAAACCTACACCTGTGGCCTCTGCCTTGGGTGTCATTCTTGATTACTATGTCTTGCATCTGCTCCAAAATCATGAACTCCTGAAAGGGCCAGGGCTTACTCCACTCTGTTGGCCCAGTGCCAAGTAGCAGAGTGCTTGCCCTGGGTGATGGGAACAAAACAGTTTGGGTTTGAGAGCTGTAATTTGCCAGATGGTGTGAGAGAGGCTCCAGATGGGGAGAAGTGCATGAACAAAAGGAACAAAAAGTGATAACAAAATGGTTGTAACATATTCCTCCTGGCTTCCCTATTGCCACCGATAACAAAAGGTTATAACAAAAGGTTATTGGTGGTAATAAAGGCGGTGGGGAAGCCAGAAAGAATGTACTGCAAACATTGTAGGGTGGCCGTGGGGCTCATATAAGAGGGGTCTGGGATACCTGCAGGAGCATTCTTTTTTAATCTAGAAAGAAGAAGGAAGTCTACAGAGTTGAGCTAAAATGATGGTGGAGGCTCTAAGACAGGAATTTAATTGCTGAAAAACTCTTAGATTAATGGTAACCTGTGGCTGCACACTACTAATACTTCCCAAGTAAGAAGCCCTCACTTCCATGAGAGTGACAGGGGACATGGATGTGAATGAATCAGGAAGTGAGTGACCAGTTGCACTGTCAACTAAGAAGAACAAATGATTGGATGATATGATAGAGATGAGGAAAGCGTTCCTACAAACTGTGAGGATCGTTTGAGCCTAGGAGTTTGAGACCAGCCTAAGCAACATGAGGAAACCTGTCTCTATAAAAAATACAAATATTCGCCAGGCATGGTGGTGCACACCTGTGGTCCTAGCTACTTGGGAGGCTGAAGTGGGAGGATCTCATGAGCCTGGGAGGAAGTGGTTGTAGTGAGCTGTGATCCCGCCACTGTACCCCAGCCTAGGCAACAGAGTGAGACTTTGTCTTGAAACAATAAAGACAGAAGAAAGATGGAAGAAAGAGGCTTGGGCCTAGTAGCTGGTGGTGCCCTCTGGATCTAAAAGGTGGCCCCCTCTCTGATGTGTATCGTTGTTGCCGCCTTCAAATGGACTCAGCATTGATCTGCTTAGGAGTGAGACTAAATCTAAGGGAATTTGTACCACTCAGATTTTATTATAGAATGATAAGCTGCAAACCTGTTCCAATGGCTGGAAGGGAAACTGAGGTGTACTTCCTCTGTTCACACTCTTCTAGAACACTGGTGACCGTTCTCCTGACATCATTTTCCCCAAGAACATGAATTATTATTTCGCATGTTAAGCCTCCACCTTGTGTAATTATAAAATCTCCGTGAGGCTGTGCAGCTGGAAAAAAGGGAATAAAAACAAACATGCAGCCTGTTAGTTACTGGAGGGAACACTTGGGTTTTGAGAAATGAAAATAGCTGACACCAATGAAGACTATGAAGCCCAGCCTCCCTCAAGCCTATTGGTTTCATTTACTGGACTGTGACAGCCTCATTTTCTTTACAATCAGAATTCTCGAACTCAACAAATACACTGTTGAGTATTTTGGGTGCTATTGAAAAGCACTTTATCTGCATTAATCTGCTCAATCCTCAAAGCAAGCCCATGACGCAGGTACTGTTTTCCCCATTACACACATGAAACAGCCACAGAGAGAGGCAAGGTCAGTAGCCGAAGATTGCCTAGGACTTGAACGCAAGCAGCCAGTCTCCAGAGCTCTTAACCCCAACTTTGCTGTCCCAGAAGGGCAATTTATATGCTCATTTAGCCACATTAATTTTTGAAGGAGGTAAAAGCAACGTACTCTGTAGCATGGAGGTGTGAAAGGATGAAAACTTCTCACTCAGGACCCTAGAGCTCTTGAGCACATGGAAATTACCAAGGCAATTTTAAGGCCGTGCTTCTTTGGTTCAGACTGCTCTGAGTAAGGCTGGGGCCAGCAAAAGGGAGGAGGGGGAGAGTGGATCCCTGCCCATCCCACCCAGCCCTCCGGAGGAGCACCTGTGCCCAGGCACTCTCTAGGGCCTGTTGGGTGTCCCTCCCACCATCCCCTCCCAGGCAGCCTCCTCAGGGTTTTTCAGCTTGTCCAGTCTACCTTCATCTTCTGCTCCTGCCTTCTAGGCACAGCTAGCTCTCCCAGTGCTCAAACCCCTGCTAACGTCCTCATGTTAGTGATCAAGTATCATCATCCTCTGCTTTCACTCCAGAAATTTATTCACTCCAGAGAAATTTCTAAATCAGAGAGCTACTAAGATAGGAGTTTCAGGCACTGTAGCAGGTCAGTTTTGGGAATACATTGTCATGGTGCACTATGACTTCTTCAAAGCACACTCATAGCTGACTGTCTACCCTACTCTGCAAGGGATATTTTGAAGGACAAATAGTTTATAAGCACCACCTTAGGTTCCCCAGTCAAAGTCCACATTCATTCATAAAAGGATTAGAAGTTGGCTACATGTAGATGTGCTGGAAGCAGTAGAACAAGGTTGGGGAACGTCTGTACAGCATTTTACAGTTTACAGAACTTTTCACATTAATTGTTCCTTCTGATCCTCAAAACCACCTGTGGCACAGCTTTCCCACACTACTTACTAGTAGAACTTTCCTACTGATGAGAGAAGCAAAGCTCTTAGCAGTTAGACGATGTGCCTAGGGTCACTCAGTAAATGGCAAAGCCTGGATTATTAGGACCCAGGCCTGGGTTCTTTTTACTACTCAGGAAGGAAGAGACAGATGAGATGGTGGAATAAAGAACCTCTCCCCTACAGCCTCCAAGTCCTTCCACCTGTGCCTGCTCTTCCAGCGAACCAGCCTTCTTGCAAAGCTTTGCCCACTACTTACTCCACCCCCAGTCCTCCTGTACGTCATCTCGTTGTAATCTTAGCCCTCTGATTTTCAAGTTTGTAGTGAAAAGTAACATGTGCCCATACCTAGCATAGCACATTCATTTTCCACAGCTGGTCCAGCACCTTCTAAAATAGCCTTTGACACACCTAAATAAGGCACATTAATGGTAAAAGGCATCAGTTAGAATTCAGTAAGTGGTTATAGCTTTCATACATTAGACTTCTGCTCAATTCAACCATTTGTGCACAATCCATTGACCATCCCCCATATCCGACCAGCTGTTCTTCCTATAGCAACCTCCACCCAGTGGCTGATGAACAAACAATCTGATCTCAGCACCATGGAAGTCCCCAGGAGTTGAAGGATTTACCTTCTCTATTTATACAGGAATCTTTTTGCAGTTATTTGAAATTTTTTGCATGCTACTCTTATTATTTTGTAAAAAATGAATGCAAATACAAAAATAAGATTTCTGGCTGGGTGCAGTGGTTCACGTCTGTAATCCCAGCACTTTGGGAGGCTGAGGCTGGCAGATCATGAGGTCAGGAGTTCAAAACCAGCCTGACTGACATGGTGAAACCCTGTCTCTACTTAAAATACAAAAATTAGCCAGGCATGATGCCGTGTGCCTATAATCCCAGCTACTTGAGAGGCTGAGGCAGGAGAATCACTTGAACCCAGGAGGCGGATGTTTCAGTGAGCTGAGATCACGCCATTGCACTCCAGCCTGGGTGACAGAGTGAGACTCTGTCTCAAAAAATAAAAATAAAAAATAAAAGTTCTGATACTAAGGAGAAGCATGAATCTCAAAACTGTAATAAAACTGAGCACTTTACTAAATTCTTTGATTCCCCCAGCCCCCATCAGTTAGGCAGCTGGTTTCAATTCAATGAATCTTCCAGTCAAAGTTGTAGCTTCACCACTTTGGTCAAGTCTAAAGACAGCTGTGTTAAGTAGTTAAAAACATAGACTTTACATTTTGACAAACTGGGTTGAAGTTGACTTCACTATCTACTAGCTAATATGTGACAAATAAGTTCTTCCTCATTACACAAAGGCTAATGTGGTACTTCCCTCACAGGGTTATTTGTACATTAAAAGAGATAAGGGATGAAAAAATGCTTAGCACATAACCTGGCATGCAGATAATACTAAATGAATGTTAGTTGTTTTATCATTACAAAGATACCTATATCTCTTTATCCTTGATTATGAGTGCATTATGAAATGTCTCTTTTTAAAAAAATCTTTTTTCAATTTGTTTGTTCTGGTCTCTGTCTTTGCTGTGAAGATTTTCCTTGAAAGTCAAGTGATCTTCACCATTCCATTCCTGTTTAAGAGTGAGCTTAGAAGCCCTATGTGAGAAGGCTTGTTGACCAGTGGGCTTCAGTGTAAGGCAAGCAGGCAGCACCTATTGTCTGTTGTTCTGGGATCCATGCAGGGAGAGGGGCTGGACACTCACTGTTTGGTACAGAGATGTTCTCTTAAACAGTTTTCAGTCTAGCTCCTCATCTCACCTATGCCTGGTGCCTAAGTTCAAAACCCCTCTGGTTCTGTTTCTCTGGAGAATAAACCTCCCATCTCTGGCCAGGGAAGAGAGAGAAAAGTTACTGTTGTATAGGACAGGGGATCCAATCACGTGGCCTAATTACTCCTGATCTGGAATTTCTTTCAACCGTGTTTTCATCTCTGTACTTGGCCCCTGCCTTCTCAGACACCAGCAGCCTCCAATTCCTGTGTCTCTGGGGCTACTGTTCTCACCTGTAGACACTAAATTTTCTCTACTCCATGGCAGTGACCACCCTTGGCTAGTAGCTCCCCATCATTTAAAAATTTCTTATCTTTTGTTCATAGTTGTTTTCCCTCCAACGTTCTTTTTCTTGTGTGTTTATATCCTTTTCATTCCTTTACAGTTGTATAATGGAATTCCAAAAGGAGGCAGGGATGAATGCACAGGTTCAATTTAGCATGTTTCAAATAACTAAATGTTCTTTATATCTACATTTTAAATGACTGAAAAATGGAATGACCGATGAACTAAATGGATATTCTACAGATTCACTTCTGTGTAATATTTTTCAACTTAGAAAATATTTAAATTTTATTTATGTTTTATCTTACCCTTTTAACTTAAAAGTCAACGTTTTATAATATACAAAAGTTTAAGAGGGCCAGGCACAGTGGCTCACACCTGTAATCCCAGCGCTTTGGGAGGCCAAGGCAGGTGGATCACCCAAGGTCAGGAGTTCAAGACCAGCCTAGACAACATGGTGAAACCCCATCTCTACTTAAAAAAAAAAATTAGATGGTGGCACATGCCTGTAGTCCCACCTACATGGGAAGCTGAGGCATGAGAATCACTTGAACCCAGGAGGCAGAGGTTGCAGTGAGCTGAGATTGCACCACTGCACAACAGCCTGGGCAACAGAGTAAGACTCTGCCTCAAAAAAAAAGGTTAAGAGTGTATGTGTATAAGTTATAAGGATAAATTAATAGACATATGTGGGGAGGGCATGCTCGAATGTGTTACCATAGTGGGAGTAGTCAAACATTTCAGGGAAAATAAAGAAAAAGGGTTGCGTTTCATTTCTGGGTCAGTATAATGTAGAGAAGAGAAGAGCTACAGGAGGTAACATGTGAATGCCAACTGGGTTGCATAAAAGGAAAATAAAAATGGAGGAACTTAGAGGTACTAAACCTTACATTTGGAAGTTTGACAATCCAGAGCTGATGCTAAATACAATGCTTCTGTTAAACTCCACCTTTACATCAGTTACACCCCATCTAATCCTCTCCTGGGAAAAAGGTGTTTGATGGGCAAAGAAACATGCTCAGAGAGGTTAAGTGACTTGTGCACAGCTACACATTGCCAAGTGGCATAGCTGGGATTCAACCCGTGTCTTCCTGAGTCCAGGGACCACATATTTTCTACAACACTCTCTGTCTATTCAAGACAAATATTAGCCACAATTTCCCTTTAGAAATTAGTCATACTAATAACTACAATGTATTGCTTAAAGTACCTGATTTCAGACTAAATGTCCTTGTTGTTGAGTTTACAATAACATCTACCTTTTCTTCAGTTATGTCTCCAGTAGCAACCTGAAAAGTAATTGCACCAATTTTCATTTCATATGCTGTGAACCAAGGATTAGAGACAGTCCCGAAGGTACCTGAAAAGAAAGTAAATGGGTAAAGAATGGGCTGCTGGCTCAGCTCCCAGAGGAAGAGCACACATTTTGCGGCCCTATTCTCTTCCCAGCCAAACCCTCCTTCTTTTCCCCCCAACATAAACCCAAATATTACCATGTCTCCTGGCCTCTTAAACAGCTAGGTTTTCTTTTTAAAGGAAATTAGAAAATTATGCTTTGTGACAGTAGGAATATCTACATTTTCTGAGTTACATAGGATGAGGCAGAAATATCTGATTGCACCTGTCTGTCTACTGACAAAAGCTGCTGTGGTGTCAAGAGAGAGGAGTGAGAAAATAAGGGAGTGTGCCAAGGGCACTGTCATGTCTTGCAGACAACACTGCTAGGAGAGTCTTTTATTACCACAGGTGTAGCAATATAAAGGCCACTCCGAAATCCCAGCACCTTGGGAGGCTGAGATGGGGGGGATCACGTGAGGTCATGAGTTCGAGACCAGCCTGGCCAACATGGTGAAACCCTGTGTCTACTAAAAATACAGAAAAATTAGCTGGGTGTGGTGGTGTACACCTGTCATCCCGGCTACTCGAGGCTGAAGTAGGAGGATCATTTGAACCCAGGAGGCAGAGGTTGCAGTGAGCTGAGATCGTGCCATTACACTCCATCCTTGGTGACAGAGCTAGACTCCATCTCAAAAAAAAAAAAAAAAAAATGCTGCTCAGAGGAAGTTACCTTTATCCTTTTGGCATATTACTCTCCATCCCACACTCTGAGGCTTACAACTTAGATGTGCCACTTCAGCTCATCCCTTAAACCCTTTAGATCTACCTTTCGACATTTATACAGTGGCAACAGAACCAACTGCCATGGGGCCACTGTACACATTAAATAATACACTATATATGAAAGCAATTAGTAAAGTATAGTGTGCCAGGCACAGGTTAGTTATTTTTTTATTACCATTTCTTAGAAACTCTGCTTTCGTTACCATTGATTTGGTTCATGTTACTATATGATTGCTTCTTCGTGTGACCAGACAATAGGACGTGTTCTAACACCTCCTCCAGCACAGATTTGTTGTTTATGTTCTTCCTGTGAATTAGCTTTGCCACCTTCTAGTGGACTTCAACTACCACTGAAGAGTTGCTAAGCAAAAGGAATTACTTCCTTAGCAGAATGACTTTACCAGACCTTGGGTATCTCCAGCCATGGGAATCCTGGCCTTGTTGGGATTTCTTCTTGACCATTTAGTGAATTCATCTAAAAATGCCTGGAAATAGAAACAGTTACTGACCACAACAATGTCGTGTAGAAATATTAATCCAATTCTTTGGAGCACTGATCATCAGATACCAAAGAGTAACAGTAGTTTCCAAAAGATTTCCTCTTCCCTCAGACTTCTTAAAGAATTGCGGTTCAACCTGGGAATTTTCTCAACAACTAGCAGTGCTGATTTACTTTATTTTTGTGAGTAAACTAACTATCCAGGCAAGTATGTCTGGAGGGATGCTGACACACTGGGAGTCAGGTATTGGAAGACTTCCTTTATGAAGACTTTCTAGCCAATGACTAAATTAGGGACCACAAAGACCTGTAAAAGGATCAGTTTTTCCATTTTAGGGTCACAAAGACCCATCTTCTTATACTGGCTCTGCAGGAAGTCACATGCCTTTTTTGTAACCACTATCAGTTATCCTTCATCTTTTGAAGCCCTATAATTCTAATCTCTTATATCCAGTGTGCTTTGGTAGAATGTTTGTAGGTGAGCAGGGACTGGGCAACAATTTTCCTTGCAATCTTTGGCTGTTAGGTACATTCTGGGGTTGATTAACAATAAATACATATAGTACGCTTCATCTCTATGTCCAGTCAAAGCCTCCTGAATGAAAGCACTAAAATCCACATTAGAAAACATCATACATTGAAATTTTGTTTAGAAATGGGAAAACAAAAAGGCTTTTTGGTCATGTGAGTGATAAAATTGAGCAATGAGTGACAGAGAGGAGTTACAGAGTTTCACTTGGGTTGTCTTCATCCATTTTCCTTCTTTTAAGGTAT